GCAAATGTCTGTATGGAGTTTGCACATTCTCCCCGTGTCTGCATGGGTTTCCTCCGGGTGCTCCAGTTTCTTCCCACAGTCCAAAGATGTGCAGGGTAGGTGGATTGGCTATGCTAAATTGCCCATAGTATCCAGGGATGTTTAGGTTAGGTGGGTTAGAAAAAGGGAAATGCAGGGGTAGGCGAACGGGTCTGGGTGGGATACTCTTCGGAGGGGCAGTGTGGATTTGTTGGGCCGAATGGCCTGTTTCCACGCTGTAGGGATTCTATGAAATAATGAGGTGGTGCTGGAGGCAAACCAAATACCTGGAATAACATGATGGGTATAGAGTTGCATGCCAAGGGTCTAACTAAAGTAACATGAAATCCAAAACTGTACAGACTAATTAAGGTAGAGAGATCGTAAGTTATCAAGGTGATGGCGTCAAAACAAGCCAGTAAGGAAGATTTTCCAAATGCAGAACAATATGGTAAGGTTACACATACTGCAACATGAACCCAAGATCACGGTTGAAGCCGTCTGCATAGGTACGGAACTTGGATCAGTTTCTACTCAGCAATTTTGCGTTGTTGCGTATCTCGAAGGTTGCCTTGGAGGATGCTATACCGAAGATCAGAGGCTGAATGTCCTCGGCCACTGATGTGTTCCCCGACTGGGAGGGAACATTCTTGTCTGGCAATTGTTGCATGGTGTCCATTCATCCATGGTCTCACTAATATACCATGCCTCGGGGCATCCTTGTCTGCAGTCCGAGGTATACAACATTAGCAAAGTCATCTGCTGTATACACAGTAGGTGGTGTCCCCACATGTGATGGCTGTATTCATGTCGATGATCTGACATGTCTTGCAGAGGTTGCCATGGCACGTTGTGTGGTGTTGTGGTCGATATTATCCTGAAGGCTGGGTAGTTTGCTGCAAATGATGGTCTGTTTAGGTTTTGGCAGTTGTTTGAAGATGAGAAATGAGGCACAGGGGTGATCTTGGTGAGATGCTCATCGTCATGGATGACATGTTGAAGGTGGTGAAGAAGTCGGCGTAGTTTCTCCTCTCCAGGGAAGTACTGGAAGATAAAGGGTACTCTATCACTCCTGTCCTGTGTCTGTCTTCTGAGAAGATCATTGCGGTTTTTCGCTGGGGCACATTGGAACTGGCAATTAATGAATTGAGCATCATATCCCATTCTTATGAGGGCATCTTTAAGCATCTTTGGGTGTCCGTTGCGTTCCTCCTCGTCTGAGCAGATCCTGTGTATACGCGGGGCTTGTCCATAGGAAATGGCTTCTTTAACATGTTTAAGGTGGAAGCGAGAGACATGCAGTATCGTGAGGTTATCTGTGGGCTTGTGGCACAGTAAGGCACTGAGGTGTCTGCCCTTAATGGAGATGCGTGTGTCCAACAATGAGACTGATTCTGAGGAATCCCCAGCTTCTGTCACGACACTACAGATTTCTTACAGAAACTCAGCACCCACAGTCCAGTCAAACCAGGAACATTCCTCATCACAATGGATGTTTCGACACTCTACACCAGCATCTCCCACAACTGTGTTGCTGCAACAGCCAATTTGCAGATGCCATTCTATAACTGATCTACTTCATCTTCGACCACAATGTCATCACTTTCGACAACTAGTTCTTCATCAAGATACACAGAGCAGCCACAGGGACTAAATTTGTACCCCAATACATCAACATTTTTATGCACAAGTTCAAGCGAGACTTCTTTGCTGCACAGGACCTTCAAACAGCTATAGTCCAGATACATGGACGACATTTTCTTCGTTTGCACTCATGGTGAGGATTCACTGAAACAACTACACAACAATATCAACAAGTTTCATCCCACTATCAGACTTATCATTGACTTCTTGGGTTTATGTCGCACTACATGTAACCCCAACATACTGTTCTGCATTTGTAAAATCTTCCTTACTATCCTGTTTTGAGGCCATCAGCTTGACAATTTGCTATGATCTCTCTACCTTAATTATATAATTGTATACTTTGGATTATTTATTACTTTGGTTAGGCCCTTGGCATGTGACTCTTATACCTATCATTATTCCAGCCATTTGGTTTGTCTCTCGCACCACCTTATTAATAATTTTTTGTAATAATCTCTCTGCCTGAATTAATCGGATTATAGGTCATTTGTTCACTTGCTATTCAGCTGTTGACACTTCAGTCACACTGTCTGACACTTTTGATCGCCTGCAGAAATTTATTATTCAGCCTGTCGACAGTCCACTCACATCATTTGTATGAGCTTTTGATCTCTCTGCCAATAAATTCTGTGCCTCTGTGCTTCTCTTCACTTCACTTGACAAAGGAGAAATACTCTGAAAGCTTGCGATTTCAAATAAACCTGGAATATAACCTGGTGTTGTGTGACTTCTGACGTAACCCAAAGACAAAAATACAGAAAAATAAAGAGATACAATCTATACAGCTGAAACCCTCAGCCAGACCTTTGTCAGTTCTATGAAAAATTTCAATACACTCCCGACTGCCTTTCCACAAAAATCTGGATAGTCTAATGTCAACCACATAACCACTCTCAAAAAACTATCACAAAAACCAGTCAAGTTTGCTGATGTTCTTTACTGAAGGAAATCTGCCATCCTTACCTGCCCTGGCCTACATGTGACTCCAAACCAGCAACTGTCCCAACAGCAACACACTTCACTCTAACTGACGTCTGAAATGGCCCACCTAAAAGCCAATCAGTTCAAAGGCTACTTGAAGGCAGCACGGTGGCTCAGTGGTTAGCACTGCTGCCTCACAGTGCCAGGGACCTCGGTTCAATTCCACCCTCGGGCAACTGTCTGTGTGGAGTTTGCACATTCTCCCCGTGTCTGCGTGGGTTTCCTCCGGTGCTCCAGTTTCCTCCCACAGTCCAAAGATGTGCAGGTTAGGCAGGTTGGCCATGCTAAATTCCCGTAGTGCTCAGGGATGTGTAGCTTAGGTGGGTTATAAGGGGATGGGTCTGGATGGGATGCTCCAAAGGTCAGTGTGGACTTGTTGGGCCAAAGGGCCTGTTTCCACACTGTAGGGATTCTATGAATAAAGCAGCAAAAACTGGCCTTGCCAGTGATGTACACTGTTCAGAAAGAATAAAGAAAACATTTTAATCTCCGTAAAGTTGAGGTCCTCCAAAATTCTGCTGTCCATTTCTCAACTCATCTGTTCCTCCTTTACTAGCTGATCGACAGTGGTGCTCAATCAAGCCAAGTCTTAATTTCAATATTCTCATCAGTTTACAAATCCCTCCACAGCCTCACCATTTGAATGTAATCTCCTCCATTCCCACAACCCTCAGATTTCCATGTGCCTCTAATTTTGACCTCTTGTACTTCTCCAAGTTTAGGTTTTCCACCATTAGTGGCCATGCTTCATTTCATATGAGAATTCAAACAAGGAACAAGTGCAGGCCATTTGAGCCAATTCCACCATTCAATAAGATAATGGCTGTTCCGATTTTAACCTCAACTCTACCATCCCGCATATCCTCAATAATTATTCATTCTCTTGGTTATCAAGAATCTATTTACTTGAAAATATTTGAAGATTCTGCATCCACTGTCTTTTGAGGAATGGAATGCCAAAGACTCTCAACATCCAGAGAAATGTTGTTTTAAATGGGCAACCCCTTACTGCTAAACTATGACTCCTAGTTCAAGATTCTCCCACAAGAAGAAACGTCTTTTCTACATTCAGGATCTTTTATATCTCAATTAAGTCACCAATGATTCTTCTAAAGTCCAGAGAATGCAGACCTAGCCTGACTAGCTCTTCTTCATAAGGCAATCCGCTCCTTCCAGGTATTAGTCTAGTAACCCTTCTCTGACTGCTTCTAATGCATTAACATCCTTCCAGAAGTACGGTCACAAGCACCATATGCAGGAGCTCCATAGCGAGCAAACTGCAAAATTTCCTCCCCATTCATTTTTGAGACTCCATATTGTTTTCTTCTTTTAAGATACTTAGAGTCATAGAGCTTTACAGCATGAAAACAGACCCTTCGGTCCAACTCGTCCATGCTGACCAGATAGTCTAAATTAATCCGGTCCCATTTGCAAGCATTTGGCTCATATCCTTCTAAACGCTTCTTATTTATATACCCATCCACGTGCCTTTTAAATATTGTAATTGAACCAACCCCCACCTCTGGGAGGTCATTCCATACACACCACCCTCTGCATGAAAAGGTTGCCGCTTAGGTCCTTTTTAAATCTTTCCCCTCCACCCTTAAACCTATGCCCTCTCGTTTTTGACTCCCCTACTCTGAGGAAAAGACCTTGGCTATTCACCCCATCCACGCCCATCATAATTTTATAAACCTCTATAAGGTCAGCCCTCAGTCGCTTCAAGGGAAACAGCCCCAGCCTATTCAGCCTCTGCCTATAGATCAAACCCTCCAACTCTGGTGACATCCTATCTTTTCTGAACCCTTTCAAATTTCACAAAATCTTTCCTGTAGCAGGGAGACCAGAACTGAATACAATATTCCAAAGGTGGCCTAATCAATGTCATGTACAGCCGCAACATGACCTCCCAACTCCTATGCTCAATGCACTGACCAATAAAGGCAAGCATACCAAACGCCTACCCTATCCTCCTGCGACTCCACTTAAAAGGAACTATGAACCTGCACTCCAAAGTCTTTTTGTTCAGCAACACTCGCAGGACCTTACCATTTAGTGTATAAGTCTTGCCCAGATTTGCGTTTCCAAATCGCGCCTCTGAGGAACATTTCATTATGTTAAAGGTACTAAGTATAGAGGAATTAATCTGAAATCAGAGAATTAACAGTAGGATTAACAGTACAGTGGAAGAGGTTATGAGGTTGTTCCTTCCTTAATGGCAGAAGTTTTAGTTTATTGAGTGCTTTACCACAAGAGGTAGTGAAGCTGAGTTCAGCGTAATATTCTACAGGGAATTGAACAAAATGAATTTCTATTCCCAGAGCAGAAGCTGATAAAGATAAATGAGAACCAACCTTCCCGCACAGAGAAGGAAATCCCTGAAGAACAGTTGGCAACCAGAGAAACTTGGAGGGGGACACGGCCCCCCAGTACTTTGAGGCACAACAAAGCGTTCCTGTAGCCGCTTCAGTTTGGTTAGGTTGTCTGTCCCAAACATATCCAGCACGTCTTGGTCAGGATGTTCACTGCCTGCAAGTGCTCCAGCTGCACCCTTACACATCTATCAGAGTAACATGGAGGATTTTTCATAAATCTAGATGTGAATATCTGAATTAAAACAAAACTCAACAGTTACAAAGATTAAATTGTTTTGCAAAAACCATAGGGTGGTAAATAGCTGTACTTGAAAAAAGTACTTGTTCCCTTCTGACTCAAATGCACTGAAACCTAACATAGCAGAATGTGGGTACAAATCCATAGCATCCCTATCTCTGTCGTTTATTTATCATCATCAACATAAGACAGTCACCCATAAATCCAAAATGGAGCTCAGGAACATCTTGCTTGCCCAGAAACTGGTTAGAACGTGAAACATTCAGCCATGCAGAGTGGCTGAGGTGAATTAGCAATGATTGTTCAAGGAGAAATTAGATAAACAGAAGGGAGAAAGGAACAGAAGATTTGCTAATAGGGTGAGGTGACAAACTGAGCCAAATAGCCTGTGCTGAACATTAGCCACTCTTTATGCTATTAGATGGGATACTAAACAGCTCTTTTTGTCTGTAATAAACTGCTTTAAGTCATTTCATAAAACTTCAGCAGCTGAATAGAACCGTGTTCAAAAGTCAGAGATTTAAACTACATGCAGGAGTTCAACAATTAAATCTGAAAATACCATACTGAATTTCATCTCAACTTTCAGGGACAGAATCCCAGATATAACTTATTATATGAAAGGATTACCATTCTGCTTTTGGTTAGATATCCTTAACACAAAGAAAACAAAGTACTTATTGAGGAAAATTACTTCAACTTCTGCATCACTCTTAGGACAGATCTGGGAATAACGAAGGGTGCTGTAAACACAAACCACATACTCACCCTTATCAACTGTTTCTGAAACAGCCTTGCAAAGTGGTTATGATTACAAGCTGTGCTCAGATTGACCATCATGTTTCTAGAACAAAAAAGATCAAAATGCAGTTACTGTACATCCGTTAGAGTGGTTTGATGGAAGTGGAGTTAAGCTCACCATCAGATTAGACATAACCTTACTGACTGGCAGAGCAAATTCCAGGGATCAAATAGTCTACTCCTGCTTCTATTTCTTACGATCTTATAGCATCGCCTTGTTCAGTCACCTTTCTGCCTGGATTCTCCATTTAAACCTGAACAATTCACTTCTTAAAAGCTCCGAGGAACAGTATTGGTTTTCTTCTTGGAATGTTTTGCAGATACAACATGAGAAGTAATGCATGATGAGGTTATCACAAATGTGGTCAAAAAATTACTGTGGAAAGCACCAAGGGTTTTGGTTATGTGACTCAATTGCATTAACTGAGTACATTCATACTGGAATGAAGAGAGCTGTGAAGTGAGTTCACATTGACTTATTCCAATGCAAATTAAATAATTTCATTCTGAAAACAGCTTCTTGATTGTTGATTCTCAAAACTCTCTGCTTCTGCTCTTCAGAGGGTCTGTGAGACTCGTTGGGGCAAATGGTCTCTTTCCGCACTGTAGGGACTCTATGTCTGACAAAAGATAATGCAAATGCCTCGGCCATATCTCTTAAACTGATGTGCTGGGTTCTCTCATCACTGAGGATGGAGACGCTGCACAGCCGCTTCTTCCTCCAGAGAGTTGTTTAATTGTCCACCACCATACATTCTTGAATGTGGCAGAACTACTGAATTTGATATGATTCCACAAGGGAAGCACCCCATATTTAGGTGGGTGCTGGTCCTGGCACGCACTCCTGCACCCTCTAATGAATCAGTGTTGATCCCCAGGCTTTATAATAAAACCTGCGTAAGTTATATGTCAAGCACTCAGTTCCAGTTGAATACAATTCTACTGCTCCTCATAGTCCGCTTCACCTTACGAATGCCCAGTTCTCAGCTACCAAATCTGCTCTGAATCTATCTAATTTAACATTATCCTCAAATCTCCTTGCTTGCAAATCATGGCTTCTAGTCAGCTAGAAAATTACACAAAGAAATATTTAAGTGATTTTTTTTTGTCATAGCTACATGCCCCAAACCTGACTTACAAATAAGTTAATTTGAATCAATCCTTTGCCCACCTACCACCATGGGTGTATGCCAACTGTTTGCACTTTCCTGATCCAATCCAAAATGGCAATATTCTGTCATACCTGATCCGAAGACCCAGAGCTCTCTCAAATTCCCAACCGGGATTTGCATGCTTATCCTCCCACTCACGCAGCAATTCATAAAAGACATCCCTGGAAGATAGATAATAGATAATGCTCTTAAATCATATATCCATTGAAGGATCACTGTGTCTTAAAGCATTACTTCTATTAAACATCAGTGTATAGAAATAATACAAGAACATAATTGTAAAATTAAATCATAATTGTAAAGCTGATTCTGAAGAGAGACCTAGAGGACTTCAAAATTATGAAGTCGTGCTACAGGATGAAAAAGCTAATAAGCACAAAAGGGAATCCAGGAGAAATTTATTTATCAACAATAGTTGAAATATGGAATTTGCTTCCACTTGTAGTATACAAAATGAACAGCACAGATGTAAGGGAAAACCAGATAAAAAATGAAGAGGAAACAAATGGAAAAGTATGTTCACAGGAATAGATTGAAAGAGGTCAGACGAGGCTCACATGGAGCATAAGTATTCGTATAGCAAGTAAAGAACTGGCTCTTTCCCGTAAATTCGATCTTTAACAGCTATGTAGAGTTGTACCTTTATAAATTGTGTGTTTTTACAGCCCTTTATTTCCAGAAAGCAACCTGTGAAAATATTGATCACCTTGCAACACTGGTTAGATTAATTTTAACTTTTCTAAATAAACAAATGGCTTGTTGTGGATAATTTAGATATTCCCCTGATACAACAACTACAAGAGATCTACTGCACAGGGGGAAGGCCCTTCAGCCCATCAGGTATGCACCGGTCAAAAACAACAATCCAACTATTTTAATTCCATTTTCCAGTACTTGGCCCATAGCCATGTCTGTCCTGGCATCGCAACAGTGCATCTAAATACTACTAAAATATTAGGAGTGTTTCTACCTCTACCACCCTCACAGGCCGTGAGTTCCAGATTCCCACCACCTCCTCTAGGTAAAAAAAACAGTTTCCTCAGATCTCCTCTAAACCTTCTTCCTCTTACCTTAAATTTATACCAACTGATCCTTCCATTGTGGGGAAACTTTCTTCCAGTCTACCCCATTTTTGCCCACATAATTTTATACATCTCAATCACCTCTGCTCTAAGGCAAACAGTTTAGCCAATCTATCTTCATAACAAACTCTTCAATGCAGAAAACATCAAAGTAAATCTCTTTCAGTGCTATCATACCTGTCCTCTAAGTTGATTCCAGAACTATACACAATAGTCTAGCTGTGGCCTAACCAAAGTTTTATACAATTCCAGCATAACCTGCCTTCTCTTAAACTCTATGCCTCAGCTACTAAAGGCAAGTATGTCATATACTACCTTAACCACTTTATCCATCTATCCTGATACCTTAAGGGCCCAGTGGACACATACACACACCAAGTTCCCTCTGGTCCTCTCTGTTTTCCAGGGTCCTATCGTTCATCATATATTTCATGTGTTGTTTGCTCAAATGTATCACTGCACATTTATCCGGATTAAATCCATTTGTCTCTGATCAGCTCATCTATATCCTCCTGTAATCTAAGGCTATCCTCCTCACTATTTACTATCCACCAATTTTTGTATTATCTGTGAACTTACTGATCATCCCTCCTACAATTCAAGTCTAAATCATTTATATAAAATACAAAAAGGGCTCCAACACTGACTCCTCTGGGTCAGCACTGTACACAGACTTCAAGTCACAAAAAGCCCCTCCTCCGTGACCCTCTGCTTCCAATTTTACCAAATTTTCTTGAATCCCATGGGCTCTTACCTTTGCTATCTGTCTCCCATGCAGGACCTTATCAAAATCTTTGCAGAAGTCAAAATAGACTACATCAAAAGCATTGCCCTCATCAATACACCTGGTCACTTGTTCGAAAAATTCAATCAAGTTGGTCAAACATGACCTCCCCTTAACAAAACCATGTTGACTGCTCTTGATTAATCCTTACCTCTCCAAATGCAGATTAATTTTGTCCCTCAGAATTGCTTCCAATAGTTTCCCATCATTCAGGCTAGACTGACCAGTCTAGTTTCCTGGTTTAATCCTTGCTCCTATCTTGAATAACAGTGCTACAATGGCTGTACTCCAGGATTCCTCCTGCAGCCAGAGAGAAACTGAAAATTTTTGCAAGCACCCCTGCTGTTCCCTCCCTTGCCTCATTCAATAATCAGGTTTACATTTCATCCAGCCCTGGAAGTTTATCTACTTTTAAGCCTGCTAGACCACTCAGAATCTCCCCTCTGTCTATGCTAATTTCTTTTAAGTGTATGACAAACGTTCTCCCTGACTTCTATACCCATGTCATCCTCTCACTAGTGCATACTGATCAATGCCTCTATGTACAAATTACCACTGTCGTCCTTAATGGGTCCTATTCACATCCTCATTATGCTTTTACCCTTAATATACATGTAAAATAACTTAGAATTTTCCTTTATTTTACCTGCCAGCATTCTTTCAAATCCCCACTCAGCACTCCTAATCTCCCATGTTAAGTTTCCTTTTGCACATTCTATACTCCTGCAGGAGAACAGCTGCTTACTGTTTTGAGCCCTCAGTATCTGCCATAAGCCTTCCTTTTATTCTTAATCCACTACTGTATAACCCTTATTATCCAGGGTTAACAGGATGTGGTGGTCACATCCTTTTTCTTTATTGGAATATGTTGTCCCTGTACATTTTGAATGCATCCCACATCTGCTTCAAGTCCACTCTAGCCAAATCGTATCTGACCTTATTAAAATCATCCTTGTCCTCCTCCATAACTTCATTACATTCAAAATTGTTATGACTGATGAATCACCTTCGACTCAGCAGTCGAAAAATGTTACTATACAGAATTTAAGAATTAATTATGGACTCCTAATTCACAATGAATTGACAGCCCTGCTGGATTAACACAGACTCTTTTTTACTTCCATCCATCCAAAGGGTTTTTGACATTTAAGGCATTATCTTGACATATAATTATCACAGGCCTCCTGTAGGAATTTTAAAAGGTTTCATACAAAATCACTTGCAAAATGAAGGTACATGGAATTACAAGCCACACATTTTCTTGTGGGGGGGATTTGTTCGGAGGAAGGAGTCAGTGTGTACAGAAAACATCATATATTCTTCAAGGCAATTAGGGATGGGTACAATGTCAGTAATGTTAACACTGCTTGAAAGAATCAAAATTCCAAGTCCATACCAAAAGCAACTAAAATGATTGAACATAAGAGGGGCTACTCCATGGGCAACTTGTGAAATTAAATCAGGAAATACCTACACAGTGACTCAGTAGCTGCAACTGTTTATTACACTAATTGGCAGCACTTTCACCTCCATGGTCCAGAAACTTGAGCATAAGAGCCTCAATTCAGAGGTCAGAAGTCAATGGCTCAGTCTTCGGAAGAGCTGTTAAATTTAGGCCCAGACTGTTTGACAGTTGGAGCTAAAAGATCTCATGGCATCATCTTGAAGAAAAGGGTAGGAGGACGATGATTAAGAACTCTAGTGTCCACATATTCATCCCTCAAACTACATCACTAAACTAGACAATCCAATCATCATCATATCGTTTTTATTGGGACCAAACTGGATGCAGCATTTCTTACAAAACAGTACAAGTAATTGAATAGTTGGAAAGCACTTTGGGATATGAAGAAGTTATGATATTGATGCATTGCTGAGAATTAAAGCTGGCTTACAGATATTTATCCTTTCTGTGCAGCCACGATTTAAGTGAAAGCAGAGCAGACAAGCACAGAATGACCTGCTTCTATTGCCAGTTTTGCTTTAGGAAAAGATTGCTTTGTACCTTTGCTTCTTGAAACTCTGAAAGGCTCTGTCACTGGTAAAATTTGATCTATTGTCAGTTTCTGGTTCAAACGGAACAGACTGTATGACTGAAGGGAGAGCCAGTGATACCTGGAAAATAAACAGTTAACACTGAAACAGTGTTGCTTTTGTAGTGAAGGCAAAAAGTAAACCACATTGTAGGAAGGATGTCAAAGTCCGAAATTTACAAGATGGACATTCATAAACTAACATATCTGTGAACACATGTTGACAGTAAGATGCACACATAAGGCAGAGCATTCCATATAACTGGCAGTGCATCCAGTGACGAGAATTAAATATTCAACAGAACCCACTCACTTTTCCCAACTAGTCAGCATTTTCATAATGCTGATAGAACAGAATCATAGAATGCTTACTGTGCAGAAACAGGTCATTTGACCCATTGAATCTGCACCTACTCTCCGAAGAGTATCTCACCCGGACCCACACCCCCACGCTTTCCCTGTAACCTTGCGTTTATGATGGCTAATCCAGCTAACCTACACATCCCTGAACATTATGAGGCAATTTAGTACGGCCAATTCACCTAACCTGCATATTTTTGGACTCAGGGAGGAAACTAGAGCACTGTCTGGAAACTCACACAGACACAGGGAGAACATGCAAACTTCACACAGACAGTCATCCAAAGGCTGGTACTGAACCTGGGTCTCTGGTGCTGAGAGGTGGCAGTGCTAACCACTGTGCCACCCTCTGGTGTACGTTCACTATTATTAGCACACTTTAAAGCCATAATTATGGCTTTTAGAGGGTTCAGAGGAATACAAAACCTGAAAGGTCATGTAAGTAGCTCCATCATAGTGTTAGGTGATGAAAGCATTTAAGTAAGTACTCCATAATGGCAGTGGAATTTTGTGAGGTTCTGTCAGGGCAATGCTCTGGCACTCAGATAACCAGATGCAAGCCAAATAAAGGATAGGTTTTCAAGAATTAGTTGATATTTTAAAACCATAACCTGATGTGACATCAAACCAGAGAAAAGTTACATTGTACAAAGGTATAGCAATGGGATTCAGATGTAGATAATTGAGGAAAAGTGACTGGAAGGTTGGATTGTATCTCAAGAACATGCAAGTTATATCACAGCTGAACAGAACCTCGTTAGAATAAAAACCGAAAGAACTGCGGATGCTGTAAATCAAGAACAAAAACAAAGTTGTTGGAAAAGCTCAGCAGGTCTGGCAGCATCTGTGAAGGAAAAAACAGAGTTAACGTTTCGGGTCCGGTGACCCCTCCTCAGAACTGATAGTGGCTGGGAAAACGTCAGTTTATATGCAGAAAATAGGGAGGTGGGTGGGATAGGGAGTAAACGATAGGATTGTGCCCAAAGAGAGAGAAAGACAGTTGGACAGACAAAGGAGTTGCTAACGATCAGGCTGGGAGAGCAAGTAGTTGTTAATGGGCACTGTTAGTGACTAACAATAGGGGGTGTGTAATGGCAGGCTATGTGGTAACAAGGCCTGGTGTGTGGGATAGGGGGCTGGGACATGGGAGAGTTTAAGCCCTAAAATTATTAAACTCAATATTGAATCCAGAGGGCTATAGGGTCCTCAAGCAGAAAATGAGGTGTTGTTCCTCCAGCTTGCGTTGGGCTTTGCTGGAACACTGCAGCAAGCCAGAGACCGAGATGTTGGCCAGGAAGCAGGGTGGTGCGTTGAAGTGGCAGGCAACAGGTAGTTCAGGGTCTTTTTTGCGAGCAGAAATGTAGATGTTCTGCGAAGCAGTCGCCAAGTCTACGCTTCGTTTCCCCAGTATAGAGAAAACCACATTGTGAGCAGCAAATACAGTAGACCAGATTCTGGGAAGTGCAGGTGAAACGTTGCTTCACCTGGAAGGTATGTTTGGGCCCTTGGATTCTGGGGAGGGAGGAGGTAAATGGGCAGGTGTTGCACCTTCGCCGGTTATAGGGGAAGGTGCCGTAGGGCTGTGGGGATGTGTTGGGGGTGAAGGAAGTGTGGACCAGGGTGTCCCGGAGGGAACAGTCCCTGTGGAAGGCGGACAAGGGAGGGGAGGGGAATATGTATCTGGTGGTGGCATCTTGCTGGAGGTGGCGGAAATGGCGTCTGATGACCTTCTGGATATGGATGCTGGTGGGATGGTAGGTGAGGATAAGGGGAACCCTATTGCTATTGCGGGAGGGAAGAGAAGGGGTGAGGGCGGAAGTGTGGGAGATGGGTCGGACCTGATTGAGGGCCCTGTCGACAACGGAGGTGGGGAATCCTCGGTTGAGGAAGAAGGTGGACATTTCGGAGGTTCCCTTGTCGAAGTTGGCCTCATCTGAACATATGCGATGGAGACGGAGGAACTGAGAGAATCGGATGGAGTCTTTACAGGAAACAGGGTGTGAGGATGTATAGTCCAGATAGCTGTGGGAGTCAGTGGGTTTGTAATGTATATTAGTGGTCAGTCTATCCCCAGAAATGGAAACGAAATGTCAAGGAAGGGAAAGGAGGAGTCAGCGATAGACCAGATGAACATGACGGCAGGGTGGAAATTGGAGGCAAAATTGATGAAGTTTTCCAATTCCAGAAGAGAGAGGGAAGCAGCATCAACTATATCATCGATGTATCGGAGAAAGAGTTGTGGGTGGGGGCCGGAATACGACTGGAACAAGGAATGTTCCACATACCCCATGAAGAGACAGGCATAACTAGGACCCATGGCAACCCCTTTTACCTGAAGAAAATGAGAGGAGTTGAAAGAGAAGTTGTTGAGAGTGAGGACAAGCTCGGCCAAGCAGAAGAGAGTGGTGGTGGGTGGGCATGGTTCATTGCTCCAGGAAGAAGCGGAGAGCCTTAAGACCCTCCTGGTGGGGAATGGACGTGTAAAGGGATGGCACATCCATGGTAAAAAGGAGGTGGCTGGAACCGGTAAACTAGGAGTTTTGAAAACGATGTAAGGCGTCAGATGAATCATAGATATATGTAGGCAGGGACTGGACCAGGGGGTAGAAGACTGAGTCAATACAGGAAGAGATGAGTTTTGTGGGGCACGAGCAGGCTGAAACAATGGGTCTGCCTGGACAGTCCTGTTTGTGGATTTTTGGCAGGAGGTAGAAACGAGCTGTGGGGGGCTGGGGTCTATGAGCTTGGAAGCAGAGGTGGAAGATCACCGGATGAAATGAGATCAGTTACCGTGGTGAATACAATGGCCTGATGTGCCATGGTGGGGTCATGGTCCAGGGGAAGGTAGGAGGAGGTATTTGAGAGTTGGCACTCAGCCTCTGCAAGGTAGAGGTCAGTACATCAGACTACAACAGCACCACCCTTATCGGCAGGCTTAATGACAAAGCCAGGGTTAGATCTGAGTGCACGGACTGCAGTCAGTTCGGAGGGAGATAGGTTGGATTTGGTGAGAGGGGCAGAGAAATTGAGGCGACTAATGTCACGTCAACAGTTCTCAATGAACAGATCGATTGCAGGTAAAAGGCCGGAGGGAGGGGTCCAGGTGAAGGGAGAGGGTTGGAGTTGGGTAAGGGGTCTGTGGGACGGGGAGAGGACTCTGGTCCAAAGAAATGAACATGGAGGCGAAGACGGAAGAGTTCGACGTCGTGTCGTGCCCGAAATTCGTTAAGGTGGGGACACAGAGAGACTGGTTGGAGTAACTGCATTTAGTGATGGGCACTATACTTCAGGGAGAACATACAAACACTGAAGTACAGAGTACAGATACACAAGAATTACACCATGGGTTAAAGATTACATTTGGAGGTCAAGTTGAATAGACAAGGTTTACATTATACAAATTTCACGTTAATTCAGAGAGATCATGATATAGCCACAAATGACAGATGTAACATTTGATTAAAAATTGAAATTGGATAACCATCACCTAATATACAACAGCACAAATGGTATGTATTCTCACCTGTGCAGCACTGACCTCATTGGCATGGGTCAACCGTTCACGCAACGATGCAGAGAACGTACCAAGCCGGTCATTCTCACCAAGAAGTCTTATAGTCCCCTTATCTAAATAAGAAATTATCCTACAAAAAATGAAACAAATCTCCATATTATTCGATCAGATACATTCGCCAACTTTAATTAAAAATACCCTCTCACAATTTAAGCCATGAAGGTAACAGCCATTAAGTATTCTCTGGTACAGCATTAAATAGCAGATAATAGAGTGAGACAGACAGAGAGCAGTTAGCAAAGATAATGGAATGAGGCTAAGAGGGAGCAGTGATCAAGAATAGCAGAATGAGGCAGAGAGGGAACAGTGAGACAAAATAAAAAAACCGAGGCTGAAAGGAGCAGTAAGCAAGGACAAGAGAGCGAGGCTGAGAGGTAGTTATGAGATAAGGTAACAGAGTGAGACTGAGACGGAGCAGTGTCCAGCTATAACAGCATAGGACTGAGGAGAAGCAGTAAGGGAAGATAACAGGACAAGATTAAGAGGGACTAGAGACAGAGCATAACAGGACAAGACTGAGAGGGAGCAGTGGGAGACAATCTGCATGTTCACAGCTGAGCACCTAAATTCCAAAGAAAATCTAAGTGTGCCATCACAGCAAAGAGACCCGAGATTGGCTGGTGACTAATTTTCTCTCTCCAAACTAGGACATTCAATAAATTAGAAAAGTGAGGATCAGGGGTCCCCATTAGTGTTGTGGGAGGGAAGAGAAGAAACGGTTAACAGAAGTGTGGGAAATCGGTCAGATACAGCCAAGGGCCCTGAGAACCACGGTGGTGGAGAATCCTCAGTTGAGGATATTTGAGAGCCTGCCCACTCCCCACAGGAGATGGCATCATCAGAATAAATGCAATGGTGACAGAAAAACTGGGAGAATGGAATGGAAATGTGAATGGAAGGAAAAGCTGAAAGCTACCCATTGCACTCTTCAACTTCAACATTTCGCTGTCCTCAGACATCGAACGTGCACATACATGTTTAGAATTTTAATCTTTAAACCAAACCTCTATTCAGTGATGAATAGTAAAGGTTTTACTTCCCTCCCTGGCTAGTACATTATCACAAAAAAAGCTGATCTTGCATTGAGTACAAGAGTTAGGAAGTGATGTTGCAGCTTTATAAAACTTTGGTTAGGCCATACTTAGGTTATTGTGCCCACTTCTGGTCACTACATTACAGGAAGGATGTGGAGGTTTTGGAGAGGAGGTTTACCTGGATGCTGCCTGGATTAAAGGGTAAGAGGCTGGACAAACTAGGGTTGTTTTCTCTGTAGCGGCAGAGGCTGAGGGGAGGCCTGATAGAACTTTATAAAATGAGAGGCATGAATAGGGTTGACAATCAGAATCTTCTTACCCCAGAGTTAAACTGTCTAATACTAGAGGGCATGCATTTAAGGTGAGAGGGTGAAAGTTCAAAGGAAATACGTGAGGCAAGTTTTTTTTAAAACACAGAGTGGTAGGTGCTAGAATGCACTGTCAGGGGTAGTGGTGGAGGCAGAAACAATATGGACATTTAAAGGGCTTTCAGATAAGTACTAACTAGGCAAGAAATGGAGGGATGTGGACCATGGGAATGCAGAAGGGATTGGTTTAATTTGGCGTCATGTTCAGCCCAACATTGTGGGCTGAAGGGCCTGTTCCTTTTCTGTACTATTCTGTGTTCTTTAAAAGATACCAAAGTAAATTCAGCCAAAGAGAACTCTTATGCATTTGCACTGTCATTATACCCACATTTTTAGAAATATGCGAATTCAAAGCAGAGAAACAACTCACGTGAACTGTGTTTCTAGAACTCTGACAGCAAAGTAAGTGCAATTATGCACACTCCTGAAATACTGCCTTTCCACATCTGTAAAATAAATTAATTTTACATTCAGAGATAAATTATAAAAATGCAGATGAGATAAGAAAAATACATGCAATCTTTACAACGTAATATTTTCCAGGTTATCCTTAAAAACTTTTCACAACATTACACCACATAGGCAGAACTGGCATAATTATCTGAGGCGGCACCCTGATCAGCACCTTTCAAGTTTCAAGACATTCTATTGTTTTATAGCCAAATGTTCTAAGTTGACAAAACGGTAGTCAAATTGCACACAGCAAGTTCCAATCATTTCCATGTAATAATCCATTTGTTCATTTATTTGAATGAGACTTTGGCCATGGAACAGGGGAGGGCTCTCCTGCTCTTCTTCACATGCAGGATCTTTTACATTTATCCAAATAGGAAAAAGGCCCTCATTTTAACATCCATCAAAAAAAAGGCACTTCCAACAATGTAGCACTCCCAGTATTACATTGGGCTGTCAGCCTGAATCATATGTTCAGTTACCTAAAGTGAGTTTTGGATCAAAAACCCTGCCCTCATAACATCACAGCATTACAAAACCAACTATTGTGGACACTGTACGCCAACCAAAATTCATCTGAATTATAGACATGCTCAGAGAATTGAACAGCCTACTCCTGATTGTATGTTACCAGAATAAACAGAGAATCAAGTCTCTTCAAAAGACTTCAGTAAATAGCTTGTGCCTAAAAATTAATGCAGGCAAATGCACATCTTTCAGGGAAGGGTAAAGTCGGACTACTCTGATCATGCTCCCAGCTGCCTCCCATTCAGTATAGATGGAGGACTTTTGGTAAGAATGGCTCTGTAATTCTGGTTTTAAACTCCCTTTTATCTGGTTTTCAATTCCCCACTGTTGTCCATTCTATTTAACTTCCATGGATGTTTTTTAATACACTTATGAAAAATGGACATTGCTGGCTAGGCTCAGCATTTTATTGTCCATCTCCAATTGTCCTTGTCAGGTCATTAACACATTGTTGCTTGTGGGACTTTGCTGTCTGCAACCTGACTGCCTATGTTACACCAGTCATTTCTAAAAAAAGCTTGCCATTAGCTATGAAGTGTTTTTGGGGCATCCTGAGGTTGTGAAAGGTGCTACAAAAACTCAAGTTCCTTCTTTCCATTCATTCGCATTGGTTGTTTCATACATCTTGCATTTGGTTTGAATCCTGAGTGCAATATAAGTATCTTCGATTAGTATCTGGCAAATGCACATTCATCTATGCTGATGAGATCTGTTGCGCTACCCAAGCTCCATCCTTCTGCACCCTGGATCAGAACCACAGTGGACATGTTCACAGACTATTGCAGAATGAATCTGTTTAAAACCATATCCAGTGTATCCTATCTCGAAAACACCAGTGCCAAAAAAAGAATTCCGTATCTATAATGATGGTCAGAGATTGAACCATGATTTCAACCCAACATTTTGAGTTCAGTGACCCCGATAACTCAAATGTTGACACTGCTTTCTCCCCACAGATGCCGTTTTCATGTCTAACATACTTGGAACAAATCTAGAGTGTATCTAGAGTCAATCTTTCCAGAAAGAATAAAAAGGTGGCAAAGGTCAAACCAGAAATAGCCTACCAGCAAAAGTTGCTAGATCGGCGACGGATGCTGTTGTCACGGGAATCCTGACCTCAGCACTTGCTCAATCATATACATGTGCACATGCACATGTCTGGCAAAGATCATCTCACACACATCTTGCTGATGCACAACAATCACCTCTGCTCAAAATCCAACTTTGGCTTCCTGTCCTCACAAACAGCATTTCCCTCCATACATCCACAAACTGATGAAAACCCATATGCTGGTCATGCTACACCTCACTTACCCACTCTATGATGAGTTGTTCAACATACTTACCACCGTCCATCTTAGCACCCCATATGGCCAAAAGCTCTCAAGCAAGATCTTTGGCCAAGGAATCGGAAACTTGGGAAGTCATTAACAAATTCCTTGCAACAAATCTCATATGCCAATGGCTGACTTTGAACTACCACTGTGGTACTTGTTAAGTAGATTCAGTACAAGCCAAGGACCCCGTGCGGCCAACTTGCTGAATGATGACTTATGAATGATGATTTATTGTCACCTGTACTCTATAATGAGCAACACTGTGAAATACAATGAAAACATTCGACAGTCACCACAATCAGTGCCATTTTGAATAGTTTAAGGATAAAAAGAGTCCATCTTCATTCCGCCATCTCCGCAATAAGCCAGCTGACCACTGACACCTCAGCACATCCCTCAGCCAGACCCACCAATCTCAGAGTCGCGACTCTTCAGGCGCTATCTCTTTATTGCTGGGCCCACCGATGCCAGATTCGATGCTGGACCCACATGTGCCCTGCAAATAGGAGCCCCTGGCTCCGCTGCTGTCGCCACCTCGCCAATAACCAGAGGTCTACCACAACCAGGAGCTGCTGCCACTGCCATGCCTATAACGAGGAGTTCCGGCTCCAGGCTTACCACAGCCAGAAGTGCCTGGCTACACTGCCAGGCCAGGCCGTTGCCTCACCAGCTCCAGCTGCCCTCCTCCACAATGTCAACTTTTCTGCCATCACTGACAGGAAAAAGAAGAAAAAGAAGTACGAAAGAACGAACGAAAGGACGAATGCACGAAAGAACGAACAAACAAACAAGAGGGTAAGGAAAGAGGGAGGAAGTGGTCTGGAATGGATGTGCCCAGGAGCCTGAACACTGCCTATCTTGCCTGCGCTGCCATCTTGGAAATTTTACTGCTGGGCCTCAATGCAAACATCCTTACGCACTTGTGGAGAGAGTTATTGAAGTCTACAGCTTAGAAAAAGGCCCGCACGCCCATCAAGACTGTGTCAGTCAGAAACAACCACCTAACTATTCTAATCCCATATGCCTTCATTTGGCCCACCACCCTCTGGGTGAAAAAAGCTTTTCCTCACATCACCTGTGAATCCCCTCAATTTTATACATCTCAATCATGTTCACCCCCTCAGTCTTCTCTACTCCAAGCAAAACAATCCCAGTCCGTTCAATCTCTCTTCATATCTGAAACTCTCCAACCCAGACTACATCCTAGTAAATCTTCGCTGCATCTCTTCAGTACAATCATATCCTTCCTATTATGTGGATTCAGAACAGCACTGAGGTTAAATTTCCAGGCCAGTAGTTTCCTGCTTTATCTCTGGCTCCCTTCTTGAATAACAGTGTCACATTGGCTGTCTTCCAGTCCTCTAGCACATTTCCTGCAGCATTGAAATGTTTGCTAATGCCCCTGCTATTCCCACCCTTGAGACTCAAGCTGCACGTTAACAAGGAGTGCCCCTTCCACAGACTAAGCAACATACTAAATTACCTTAAACTCAGTTAGTGAGAAAGTTACCACTTGGTTTGAAGAACTGTGTTTAATAAAAGAAAGACTCACACTTACCTTTCACCTCAGTAGAATATTCTACCTTATCTTCCAGATCATCTGTTGATGCTCCACCCCTGGACGTTAACAACTGCAGTATAAAGAACAGCTCCAGAAAAATGTTTGGCACTAAGTTTTCTAAAATTACAAGAACACAACATTAATTATTTACATCTACATGTCTCAACCATCTCCCTTTTTCCAAACCGCCTTCTTGCAATCTGCATCATGGACCTCTTTACACTTGGTTAAGAAGTCACTTTATTGCCAAAGAGCCATGTGGCTGCATTACTATTTTGCCCCATCTAACAGAGCTGCCAGCAGAGCTGTCAGAATGGACTCAATGCAAAGTACTGTGAACTACCTATGAAAATGACTAATTAATTAGAGAATGTCGAGTCCTGGCATCACTAAATTCTTGGACTTGAATCCAGAGACTGGAGTTCAAATGTTAGCTGCAAGACATCTAATCTGCAAATTAGTTATAATCTTAAAACTGGACATGAGAAAACATCTCTAAGAACCAGTTCATTGAAAGAAAAGAATGGAAAGTAACAAACTGAGAAGGAGGAAAATGGTTTTAATTTTTATTTGCCTCATCGAGCTGACATTGTCCTTTGACAAACGCCCCTGGTGAGTACCCAACGTGAGTGACTGCAATGGGGAAACTTGAAGAAGTCGTGCGCATAGTGACTACAAAATCTACCGTAAATAACCCTTCATGGAGGGGCTTACCAGGTATTTTAAATACACTATGAACTAGGCCTATACCTAGAATTTTTCTCTGAAGGAATCAGGATATTCTTCCATCAAACAAAACACTGTATTTCAACATAAGATATATAAACTAGTACTGTACATTTCAAATGCATTAAATTGGCATAGCTCAGATTACTTTAAATCAGTTGTTTTAGCTCTACACTAGGAATTGGAATGCTATAGCACAGAAGGTTATTCGCACTATAGCTTTTGTTGAGCAAGTTATCCAATTAATTCAGATTTCTCGTTGCCCTGAAAATTTCCTTTTCGTGTGTGTATATATGTACATATACACAGAAACATACATGTTTAATCTGATTTCACTACCCACTCAAACAGTATATTTCAGATCATAACTCGTTGCATTCAAATAAACCACATCTTTCCTCTGGGTTCTTTTACTCATTACATTAAACAAACTCACGTACCAGAAATACAGGCAGAGTATAGCTGAGCCAAGATATCCAACTGGCTTCTATAAGAAACTTTGCTTATGTCAGCACATACAGCAATACTGTCTGAGGATGTACTAGAAGATCTTCCATACTGGCATTTAGTAGGTGGGACTGACTCGAAAACCATTGACTGCTGAAGCAACTTGGATCTATTTCATTTGAAAACAAAATGTATGAAAATAATTGTTAATGTAAAAGCCTCTAGGAAAGGTATAAAATCGCTACATACACAGTTCTGATTTCCTTCAATTTTCCATGTGCCATTTAGCAAGTTATTAATTAAAAATGTAAACCTGTAGGACAATAAAAATGGTAATTAAATAAGAAAAATGTTCAGTGTCACATGTCCAAAGAAGCTCTGTAGAAGTAAAACTTTATTGTTTATCCTTTTATTTCTTGTTACTTAAACACAATTAGTAAGCGGCAGATTATTTCATTTTATCTTTTGTTTCAACCCTCTCACCTGAATATTCCTTTATCATGTGCCACTTCTCAACTCAAAGGTTGAACAGATGACCAACTCCCAGGACTGTACCAACAGTTCTCTGTAACTAGAACTTGGAGTCAAAATAGATGGTTGAATGGCCTCTGCACGATAACAATTCTGTGATCATGCACTACTCAGAAACTCAATATAGAAGAATTCGAAAAGAGAAAAGTTAAAATACAAATAAATTTACCTTTTGTAGGTTGTTAGAGGCCATTAACCTAATTTTCATTAGAATTTCTACTATTTTCCCTTGCATCTCTGACAGCAACTTTGAGCTACTTTTCTGAGGGTGAATTTGCAGCCTATCACCAGCACTCAAATGTGCTTTCAGTGAATTATGGTAATGACTCTGCAGGGAGAAATCAGTTTATTTGTTTGTAGTAGTCCTAGGTGATGCAATCAATAAGATAACTATCAAAAATTCTGTTAACTGCAGATAAACTATTTCTATCTCGTTACAGTCATTGATTTCAAACTCAAGGATTCACAAATAGACAAGTACACCTACAGAGGATTTTGAAGTCAGGTAATTGTAAGGTGATACAAATGAAACAGAGAGCATCCTAGTGCACATTATTTCACTCATATGGAACGAGACACCAAAAAGGCCCTGAAGCTGCTACCAATGGATTTAATAGATTTAAAGCCAGGACACTGAAAAACGCTATGTGAAGAACATGATTTCTCAAAAGGAAGTGGGATTAAAAATTTTATGGAACTTAACTTTGCATTACAGAGCGGTGAAAACATCATTGAGTAGCTATAATGGGGTACCTTAACTACACATATATAGATTGAGATAGTGTTAGTGTAGAGACAGCAAAGGGCAGGTGTTCCTGTGTTGAGTGCAGGAGAATTTCTGACATCAGTATATGTTCAGCCCTAGAAAGGAGAGCTGCTGGGCCTGGTTCTTTTGGGAATGAGGTGGGCCAACAGATCCAGTGACAGTGGGCAAATATTTGGGGAACAGTGATTATCGCATCATAAGGTTTAGGGTGATGGTGGAAATGACAATCATTAATCCAGAGTACAAACAATTAACTGACAAGAAAGCAACTTCAACAGAGCAAGAACATAGCTGGGCCAGTTAGACTAGAATCAAAAGCTGGCAGAAAAGCAGTAGCTGAACAATGGATTACCTCTAAAGAGGAGATGGCTCAGAGAGAGTCAAAGTATATTCCCTCAAAAACGAAAGGTAGGACAAACAGATCAAGGGCTCCAAGGATGACAAAGGTAGAAATTAAGTTAAAGAAGGAAAAAAAAACGTGATTTTGACAGACATCAGGTAGAAAATACAACGGAGAATCAAGTTTGAGAAGAGAGGTGAGAATGCAAATAAGACAGCCAAAGAGTGACTATGAAAAAAAGGCTGATAGCTACTAAGGGAAGTCCCAAAGTCTTCTATAAGCACATCAGTAAAAGTAACAGTGGAGTCAACTAGGGACCAAAAAGGTGATTTATAGAGGCAAGAGGCATTAGTCAGGAGTTAAATGAATATTTTGCATCTGCCTTTCCTTCAAGGCAAATACTACAGGCAATGATGTCAGAGGAGGAAACACAGTCACTAAAATGATACAAATTTAATAAAGAAAAGGTATTAAATAAGCTGTAGGTACTTCAAGTTGATGAGGCACCAAGACCAGATGAGATGCATCCAACAATATTGAAGGAAATAAGAGTATAAGAGTGGAAACTGTGGAAACACAGACAATAAATCCTTCAATCTTGAGTGGTTTCAAGGGTGGTACCAGAGAATTTGAGAACAGCAGACGTTATGCTATTGTTCAAAAAGTTGCAAAAATCGACCCAACAATTACATACCATTTAACTTTAGTAGTGCAGAACCTTCTAAAAACACTCAGAATAAAATTACTAGTCACACCAAAAAATTATTGGTTAACTCAGAAGAATCAGCATGGAATTTTTAAGGGGAAATATTGCCCAACTAACTAACTTGCTAGCGTTTTTCTCCAAAGGAAACAAGGAGGGATGATGAGGTCAAAGCTATTGTTGTGGTTTACTTGAGCTTTCAAAAGGTATTCGATACAAGATGATTTGAGAAGAAACTTTTAGATCATGGAAGGACAGCAGCAATGTGGATACAAAATCTGCTGAGACTTAGAAAACAGACAGTAACGGTTAAAAATATTTTTCAGGCTGGAAGGTTTATTTAGACCTCATCTGATGTATTCTGCACATTTCTGGGTGTAATGCTTTATGAAGGTACACTGGAAATGGCGCAGCAGGGGTTTATAAGAATGCAGAGATGAGAAGTTTCAGTCCCAACTTCTCCAATCTATCTTCTTTGGAGAAGAGAAGGCTGAGGGGAAATCAGAAAGAAGTTTACAAATCATGAAGGATCTGGGCAGAGTAGATAGGAAGAAACTGTTCCATTTATAGAAAGGTTGAGAACTGGGAGCACAGTTTTTAAAAATTTTGCAAAAGAAACAAATTGCTTCATTCAGTAAGTTGTTGTAGCCCAAAATTCTTGCCGAAAAGGGCAGTGGAAGCCGATTCTGAATCAACTTTCATAAAACAATTACACTTTTGTGCTAAATTGCATTCTCCTGTGCTTATATAGTACTATAATTCCAATTTGTAGCATCAACACAATTTATTTAAATTGAAAAACAGCCCAACGCACTTCATTAAGTGCCCATCCAATAAGCAACTATACTGTTTCTGAAAAAATAATTGATGTATTTTTGGGTAAGCTTTTCATTATGCACTCATCATGCCAATTTGCAGAAAATGCCAATGTAAAGTATATACAGTATGAGAGGAGAGTGCTGAATGATTGGTAAGTGAACTCTGATTGGTAGAGGTATTATGGAGAACATAACAGTTTGACAGTGACAGACAGCTAACAAACAATAGAATCATAGAGCCTTACAGCATGAAAACAGACCCTTCAATCCAACCAGTCTGTCCCACACTAAACTAGTTCCACCTGCTTGCTCCTGGCCCATATCCCTCCAAACCAGATATCCATCCAAATGTCTTTTAAACGTTGTAATTGTACCCCCATCCACCACTTCATCAGGAAGTTCACTCTACACGCGAACCACCCTCTGTGTAAAAAATTTACCTCATGCCTTTTCTTAAAATCTCTCTCTTCTCACCTTAAAAACGTGTCTCCTTGTCTTGAAATTTCACATCTTAAGGAAAAGACAACTACCATCATCTCCAACTATACTCTCATTATTTTATGAACTTCTACCAGGTCACCTTTCAGCCTCCTATGCTCCAGTGAAAAGAAGTCCCAGCCTATCTTTACAACTCAAACCTTCCATTCCCAGCAACATCCTGGTAAATCTCTTCTGACCCCTCTCCAGCTTGATAATATCCTTCCTATGCAATGCAAATTTTAAATTATATACCTGCACCCCTAGGGCCCTCTGTTCTACAACACTACCCAAGGCCCTACCAGTAACTGTATAAGTGCTACCCTTGTTTGCTGTACCAAAATGCAATACCTCGCATTTATCCGGACTGAACTCCATCTGCCATTTTCAGCCCATTGAACCCATTTGATCAAGATCCCTTTGTAATCTTTAAAACCTTCTTCATTGTCTACTATGCCACCAATTTTGCTATCATCCACAAACTTACTAACCACACCTTCTATATTCTCATCCAAAACATTTTTGTAAATGACAAACAAAAGAGGACCTAGATCCGACCCCTTGGAACACAGCTGTTCACAGGCCTCCAATCCTAAAAGCAACCCTCTATTATTACTCTTTGTCTCCTGCCATTAAGCCAGTTATGTATCCAATTGGCATGCTCACCCTGAATCCCAAGTGACCTAACTTTACTAGTCTACCAGGCGGAATCTTGTCAAAGGCTTTACAAAAATCCAAATAAACAACGTCTACTTCTCTGCCATCAACCACCTTTTTGGTAACTTCCTCAAAAACTCAAGTTTGTGAGACACTATTTTCCTCACAAAAAACCATGCTGACTATCCCAATCAATTTTTGCCTCACTAAACATGTCAATCCTATCTTTTATAATCACCTCCAACAATCTACCCACACTGAAATCAGGCTCACAGGTCTTTCGTTCCCCAGTTTCTCCTTACATCCTGTCTTAAAAAAAGGTACATCAGCCAGCCTTCAGTTATCAGGCACCTCACCCGTAGTTACAGATGATGCAAATATTTCTGCAAGGGGTCTCATAACTTCCTCTGTTACTTCCAACATTCTGGGATACATTACATCAGGTCCTGGAGATTTATCCACCTTTATATTTTCTAAGACCTCCCTAACTTCCTCCTCTGTAATGTGAACTGTTTTTAAAACATCAAAATTTTATTTCTCTGCATTCTCTAGACTCCATTTCTTTCTCCAACTGACACAAAATATTCATTTAGTTTCTCTTCTATCTCCTGGGGTTCAAGAGAAAGATGACTTCCTTGATCTTTAAGAGCCCCAATCCTCTCTCTAGTTACTCTCTAAGCTTTATTTAAAAGTAAACCAAGTAGGTCAGTTCTGATTGGTTAAAGCAGTGTTCTAATAATTAAAGAATAGTTGCCATCTATTTTGTGGAGTTGCAACATGCACAATATGTTCTTTCTCTCTGCAAAGCCTGCATATTAACATATATAGGTTCCAGTATGCATAAATGCAACGTACCGCAAGCCCGACGATGTTAAATTGATTGTCAGTGTAATTCTTTGCACATGCAGGATTATTTAGAAAATGCTGTCAAATCAGGTCACCACATCCAAATTTGGACACCATGTTTTGAGTTTTGCAAGCGTGGGTTGATTGAGTATGGTCAGTATCTTTCTTATTGCACACTGCCACAGGGATGTTCTATTTAATAAGACAAAAGTGTTCAGTAAAGATAAAATATCTCAAAGGTTTGAGCAACAACAGAAGCAAGTTGTTTCATGCTGTTCGAATGCAGTCGCAACACAAGTGGTGCTCACCACTAACAGAATACTTCCGACAAGTCTGAAAGATGTTCTGTCTATCAGACAAATGAGTAATATAGTATATGAATTTACATTCTGGCATTATGCAATGAATGTACATCCCACAGACTGGCAGATCATATCAATAGTATATCCCTTCAGCTGTTCACAACTTGGTACTGACCATACCTAACCAGCCCAGGCCTGCTAACTCACAACAGTGCGATTCCACAAATGGACATTTGCTAACTAATCCTAAATGTGCAACCAATTTAAGATAGCCACGTTTGCTGTGTGGCACACTTGCGCATCCTAGAAGCTATATATAGTAATACAGAGCCCTGTTTGAACTGAAAGAACATGTACACGCCTGTGCCTGTTTCAACTCAAAAATGTGGTAAAAGACATTCTCTGGTTCATTTCTCAGGGCAATGCCTTGACCAGAGTCAACAAACCAGTTTTGCAATTTAAAACAAACTGTTAATAGTCAGCTAACTAACTGGCATATTCTCCTTGATAATACCACTACCAATTACAATCCACTGCCATCCAAACAGTACCCTCCTCTTTTGCAGTGCAAAGGTTGCTTTCCCTTTGCATTAGCATTCTTTCAAACCATCCTGGTTAATGCAAGATGAAGACCGTCCAATAAATGTGCTATTTTTTCCAATAATACTCAAGTTCTGCACTACTGAACAACTCTAAATAAATGTGCACTGCGTTGAAAGAATATTTGCAAAACCTGGTATTAGTTTTTTGACTTTCATCTACTCCCTTAATCAAAATGGGTTAGATCAGAAACAACTCAAGGTGGCACATCTTTTCCACTGAAAATATTTACGTCACATGTAATGTGCAAGTTTTAAATGTTCAGGTGCTCAAAACCAAAACAGCTTTGTGTGGTAATAATTGGATTAGTGTGCGAATGAGGTGGTTAGAAAATAAGTCAGATTGCGAAGTAATTCACATCATTTCAGAGAGATTACCATTGTCAAGCTTAATATGTTCCACAGAAACAGGCAAGTTAACAGTCTGCCTTCTAGCCTCGTCACTGTAAAATTCGTACTTCATTAGAATCACCAGATTAAGCTATTCAGCCCATCAAACCTGTTTCACCAATTAGTTGATGACACCTTAACTCCACTTGTCTAGTTTTGCTCAATATTCCTTGATACCCTTACTTATCAAAAACTCCAGTATCATTCTTGAAAAATCTAACTGCCTCTCAGCATTCATACATTTTCACAAAAGAGCCCGAGATTTCTCCTACCATGAGTTAAAAAATATTTTCTGATTTCACTTCCACTGTCTTGAGTTTCAAGTTTAATAGGGGTATGCACCCCTATTCAACAGTCTTCTCGAACCCCTGGCACTCTCACCACCTAAGTGGAATGAATTTTTCACATCTTACAGAATTCTTCCACAATGATACAACTTCTTATTTATTTTAATCCACAGAATGTGAGCTTCATGGCCAAGTTCAACATTAAGAGTCAACTTTTAGTTGCCCTTGAGGTGATGGTGAGCTGCCACAGTTCATGTTGCATAAGTCCTCCGGCAGTGGTGTTGGTAAGAAGCAACTTACTTATTCTGACCCAGTAACAGTGAAGAAATGATATCGTTCCAAGATAGTATGGTGCCTTACTTAGACGAGAACATGTAGGCAGCAATTTTCCCATGCTCCTGCTGCCCTCGTCCTTCTAGATGGTAGATGTCATGGATTTGGAAGTGTCTGCAGCTTGATGAGGTGTGGAAGTGCACCAAGTAGTAGTATGTACAGGAGCCATACTGACTGTTTAAGGCAGTGGATATGTATCAAATAAGCAAGCTGCTCTACCATGGAGGATGTTGCACTTCTGGAGTCTTCTTAGAACTGCACCAATACAGGCTAGCGAATACTTCTATACGCAAAGAAATAAAAGTCAGGTTTATACAAAGTACCTCATGGTTTAACCCTCTAAATGACGGCAGTGCCTGAATCCACAGCTGTGATGTTTAGCAACTATTCAGTCTGTGCCTCCATTCCCCGCTTGTTTTCTCAAATGTTAGTACATTGTAACATTGCTCTGAAACTAGAATCCCTCATACTGTACAATGGGTCTATACTCTGCACCTCTTGTGTTGCAACATTGGTGCATAAAAAAGTATAGAGGAAGTTTGCAAAGAAGTTTTCTCCAATCCTATTACTTCTAGGAAACAAGCGCTAAACATGGATATAGCTTAAAAATATGCTGAGGTCAATCGATATTTCATTTGTACACTTCAAACTCTAGATCAGATTCCAGACTGAAATATTGGTTTCTCTACTACATTTTGAAAAAAGTGCAGCAATGTGGAGCAAAATGGGAAATAGAAATACAAAGAGAGCAAACAGAAGTTTCCTTGACATGCATAGTGGATTACTTTTTATTTGAAGATTACCTTTCAATTTTCAGCATCTCACGCTCTTCCTGCAAGCTGCTAGGAGATGAAACTGCAGCAAATCCCTCCAGTCCAGCCCCAAATGCCTCTGAAGCAGCTCCTACACAGCACGTGGAGGATAATGGTTGGCTCAAAGGAATGGAAGTGAAACATATCTTCGGTTTGGACTGCAGCCGCTCTACGCTGACGGGAGTAGGATTAATTCTTCTTGATGGTTTTGTTTTGCTGAAATAAGAATAAAAATTATTTTGAAACATACATGTAACTATAGTATAGAAAAATTTCACGCAGTAGTACAAAGGACTTGAATTTAATTCTTTTATCCTTTCACGGGAGGTGCATGATGCTAACAAGACCCATCCCTAACTGCCCAAAACCTGAATGTTTCAGAGGGCAGTTGTGCTCTCATGTTGGTGTGGGTGCAAGGTCACAAATAGGCCAGGCAAGGGAAAGAAATCTGCAGTTCTTACACAAAGGACATGAGTGAACCAGTTTTTTTTTTAAACAAGTCATGAAGGTTGTCACGATCGCCATTACTGATATTATTAATTAAATTCAAATACTGCCAGCTACTGTGGTGGGATTTGAATCAGTGTCCCCCAGAGCATTAGCTAGCACGGTAGCATGACCACTACACCATACTACATAGCCTCAGGACAGCCTGATGTACTTTACAGCCAAAGACTTTGGAAATATGGACGCCACTGCAGTAAAGGACAGTATTATGATTACGATCAGATGATTTGTTTTCCTGATACTAATTGAAGAAACTATGGCTGACACATTAGGAGAACTCCTTATGAGAGTATCATGCAATCTTTTCCATCCACTTGAGGAAGCAGAAGGTGGTCCCAGTTTAATGCCTCACTCCAAAGCAGTAGTTAGCTTCAAAACTATGCCTCCAAGTCTTAATTTTCACCGATCATCCGTGTTCACTGGCCAACATTAGTTCCACTGACTGACATTAGTTTGCTAGCAACCAGCACATTTTGGCATCCTTTTTTTCAAATCCATCCACAGCCTCACCCTCACCATTTCTAAGCCCCACCCCCAAATCCCTCAGAGATATTTGCATTCACCAATTCCGGACTTTCAGTATCCCTGATTTTCATTGCTCCGTCACTGCCCACCACCGTGGCTTCACAAGGCAAGGTGCTAAGCTCAAAAATTTCCTCAAAACGTCTAGATTTCTTCCCTTCTTTCTCTTTTTAGACACTCCTTCTTACTGCTATGTTGGTGACCTCATTGCTATCTTGGTGACTAATTTTGCTTTCCATCTTTGAAGTTTTTTTTAAGGATATTGTGCCTTCAGCAAGTCATCACATTTGACACTTCTGAGCAAATCAAACCACAAGGAATCATTCAGGAAAATGAAAAGCAAGGTTTGAATGATTGATTGATATGGGTAACTGCAGCTGCTCAGAGCATGAGAACACTGAAGACTGTGGGAATTTCAATTGAACATTCTGTGCCCAGTATATAAAATGTCTCAGGAAGGCCTTTGTGCTTCAATAAAAAGTGTCAGCCTTCAAATATTTAAAATTAAAGACGTGATAACAGATTTATTTTGACTAAAAATAAAGAGGTCATTCTAATCAAAGTGTGCAAAATTTTTCTTTAAAAGGGTGATATCACCACCTTTTATCAAAGCACTTATCAAAGCAGTCTGTCTTAAACTGTTATTGCCCTGGTTGGCCTCCTCCCCAGCTCAGTGGTTAGCACTGCTGCCTCACAGCACCAGGGACCTGGGTTCGATTCCACCCTCAGGCGACTGTCTGTGCGGAGTTTGCACATTCTCCCCGTGTCTGCATGGATTTCCTCCAGATGTTCCAGTTTCCTCCCACAGTCCAAAGACGTGCAGGCTCGGTGGATTGGCCATTGACCTTCATAGCGAGATGGTCTGAATACAAGAATGGGATGTCTTGCTGCAGTTCTACAGGTCCAACATGGGGTGAGAATACACCTGGACTGTTGGTGCAGAGATAGTAGGAACTGCAGATGCCGGAGAATCCGAGACAACAAGGTGCAGAGCTGGATGAACACAGCAGGCCAAGCAGCATCATAGGAGCAGAAAGGCTGACGTTTCTGATGAAGGGTCTAGGCCCGAAACGTCAGCCTTTCTGCTCCTATGATGCTGCTTGGACTGTTGGTGCAGTTGGGCGTACAACAGAGGCTACCAGATGGCAGGAGTGACTACTGGAGAGACTGGATTGGTTAGGACTATGTTAACTGGGGTTTAGAAGAATGGGAGGTAGGGGAAACTCATAGAAACCTATAAATTTCTGACAGGGTAAATAGGGAAGGATGTTCCCAATGACCAGGAGTCCAAAATCTGGGGTCACAATCGAAGGATAAAGGGTAAGCCACTTAGGTAAGAAGAAATTTCTTCATCCAGAAAGTGGTGAGCCTTTGGAATTTTCTGCCACAGAAAGCAGTTGAGGTCAGAACATTGAATGTTTTCAAGAGGGGGTTAGATATAGTTCTTAGGACTGAAGGAATCAAAGGGTATGAAGGAAAAAGTGGAAAAAGTTGTCAGTTAAATGATCAGCCATGATCATATTAAATAGTGGAGCAGATCAAAAGTTGAATAGCCTATCCTGCTCCTATTTTTATCATTTCTACTCTTTCAAACAGAACTGCATTCAGGTTAAATGCCTATGATAGAGCACTGTGACAAACAAAATCAAACAGTCAACAGAAACTTATGAAAGAGGAACAGAAATTTTAAAAATCTACAATAGGGTTAATCTCCAACCTTGACAGAGGCCAGGGTGATGATCTATTTATTCATTATTCATTCATAGGATGTGGGTGTTGCTGACTAGGCCAACATTTATTGCCCATCCCTAAGTACCCATCACTGTGGGTCTGGAATCATGTGTAGGCCGACCAGGTAACAATGACAGTCTCCTTCCCTGAAGGACATTTGTGATCTGATGGGCTTTTTCCAACAATCAACAGCGATTTCACAACTATCATTAGACTCTTAATCCCTGATTTTTTTAAACTGAATTCAAATTCCACCATCTCCCATGGGGGGATTCGAACCGAGTCCTCAGGACGAGTCGCTCAGATTACAGTCTAGCGATAATACCACAAGCCCAGAGTATTCCAAACCGTGATGCCCACCAGTCTCTACAGGCCTTTATGAGGCCGGTGGACACCACGTGATGCCTCTAAATAACCATAAAACTGGACATAACTGCGAAAGAGGGGCAGACAGTCAAGCACAATGACCTCTTCCTGGATCTGTTATTCACCACTACTGGCCAAGCTCAGAAGCAGGCCTAAGAAGACAGCTCACTGACTCCTTTCCAAATTGGGTGCCCGCAGATCTGGACCAAAGTCCTACAGTGCAACCAAAAATTTAGGAGGAGCCCCTTTAAAAAACTAAAGTGGGGCTGCAATAAAAAACATTCAACCTAAATGCTGAAAACTGTTCCCCAGGACTGCTTGTGGCTACGCACCCATTGAATTTACTTAATCTATTATTTCACGAGACTGCTTTGTGCAGCACCATCCACCCTAGATTGCTGATGGAAAAGTGGAGGACTCCTTTGGAAAGAGTCCTCTACTGGGGATCTCTGCTGCCATAAGATAGAATGCTGCACCAGGGTGTATCTGAGTGATCAACAAAAGTAAGGAATTGGACAGTGTGCAACAGCAGGCAAAGACATGTTGAAGGGCACGGGAAGAATTTCCGGGATGGCTCATATTTTCAAAACAACCTGTTCAGAGATGCTACTACTCTCTTCTGGTGCAGGTGGGACTTCATGGCACAGAGATAGTGCACCACAAACATGTTTACTAAATTCCCCTCCTTTTCTCCTCTGACCCAAAATCAGATTCGTACATAAATTATAGAGTCAGATAGATCTGGGGTCATTTCTCAAAAGAATTTAGAGCAGACAAATCTTCAACCAGGCCAACTCAAGAACGTACTACCAAAATACCACCAACACGTCTCCTGTCCCACCAGAGGTCCAAACGTCCTTGTCCATTGTTACACAACCAAAGATGCTTACCACTCCATCTCTATCAGCATTTTGGAAAACCATACCATAACGCCATGCTCCTTCTCCCAGCTTACAAGCAGAAACTGAAGCATGAGGACCCAGTACAGAAAGTAGTGCAATGTTGGTCTTAGGAAACAGAAGGGCTTCAACTAGTCAGTGAATTAGTCCATAGTCAAGAACTCAGCGGCCAACCTAAACTAGTATGCCACTACCGTTACAGACCCGATCAGCAAGTGTGTAGACGACTGCATGAAGTTAATCCAAATGTTTCCAACCGGAAACCATGGATGAACCGGGAGATCCACTCCCTACTGAAGTCCAGGTCTGAGGTATTCAAGTCAGGTGACCTGGACTTATACAGGAAATACAAGGCCATCAGGGATGCCAACAGGCAATACCAAAACCACATGGACATCCATCGTTTGTGGCACAGCTTACATGACATAACTGGCTACAAAGCAAAGTCCAACAGAACTGTGGGCAACTGTACATCCCTACCCAATGAGCTCAGTGTATTTTATGCTTGCTTTGAACACAAGGTCAGTAAATCGATGTCACCTGTACCAACAGCCTCAGATACACCTGGCAGATGTCATCTCTCTGGCCCTACATTCATCCCTGGAACATCTGAACAAAGATACCCAAGTCAGGCTCCTACTTATTGACTGCAGCTCCACCTTCAACACCATAATTCCAAACCATCTCATCTCCAAACTCTAGAACCTAGGTTTCTGCTACCCCCTCTGTAACTTAGATTCTCGACTTCCTGACCAACAGACTGCAGTCAGTAAGGATAAGTAACAACAACACTTTCATGATAATCCTCAACACTGGTGCCCCAAAAGGTTGCGTACTCAGCCCCCTACTATACTCTATACATCTTGACAGCTGTAACACTGTATCCTGCGCTCTGTTCTGTTATCCTGGTGTACTTATGTAGTACGGTTTGGATGTAAAGCACATAAGACAATAATTTTCACTGTACCTCGGTACAGTACTAAATCCAATCAAATCAAATCTCTGTGCCCGGACTAGGAGCTGTCAGCTTTATCCAACATGACAGGTCTTTGTCATGTAAGATACATTGGCACTCAGCCGATGAAGACCTGAAGGGTTTGTCGACGACTGAGTCAGTAATATTGTTGGGGGGGGGGGGGGGCGGGGGGGGGAAGAGGGGGGGGGGGGGGGGGGGGAGAGCGGGGTGGTTTGGTGGATCTGATTGCATTTTAGAGAATACTGACAGCCGGGACAACCCTTTAGAACTGGGATGAGGAGAAATTTCTTCAGCCAGAGGTTAGTGAATCTGTAAAACTCATTGCTGCAGAGTAGCAAGTATTAAGTGAATTTAAGGCAGAGATAGATATGTTCTTGATTAGTAAGAGTATCAAAGGATATGGGGAGAAGGCAGGAGAATGGAGTTGAGGTTTAATGGACCAAACAGCCAAATTCTGCTCTTATATCTTATGGTCTTATGAGCCAATCTAAGTTTCAAGCACTGCTATTTTAATTGGCTAACTTCAGAATAAAGCAAGCAGTCATTCTGCCTAAAAAGCATGGGAAGGTGGCTCAATTTCCCAGTTAATAATTTGACATTAATATGCAATAGGAAACATTCAAGTGAATTTTTTATGTCAGAATACTTGCACTGATCTCTTATTTTGTCACTTCAAATTGTTCCTACCATTCATGAATGACTTATAGCCAACAATAACTAGACTGCTGTATACACAAATTTGGAAGGGCAAGACCAATACTGGAATTGTAAAGCTGAGGGATTCAGTAAAGGCTCAGGTGCACCTTACACATTTAAACTTTAAGTCAAGTTCTATGGAATTGCTTTACAATCAAATAAAGGAGACCTAATCATTGAATGCAATTTTCACAAAAAGTCAACTGCAATAAGGTTGAGACTTACATAATGTGCCATGTACATGCAACTGAAAATCACATAAATCATAACTGGAAAGTTTACATTTAAAGGTGCCTTTCACAAAATCCAGACATGACAACCAAATTGTCCAGATTAACATTCTGCAGACAGCAATAATGACCAGATAATTTGGGGGAGGCCAAGTGGCTAGCACTGCTGCCTCACAGCGCCGGGGTCCTGGTTCGATACCCCCTTGTTCCCAACCGTCTGTGCAGAATTTGCACATCTCCCTGTGTGTGCGTGGGTTTCCTCCCCACAGTCCAAAGACGTGCCGCTAGGTGGATTGGCCCATAATGTTCAGGTACGTGTAGATTAGGTAGGTTTGGGGAACGGGTCTGGGTGGGGTGCTCTGAGGGGCGGTGTGGACTTGTTGGGCCGAAGGGCCTGTTTCCACACTGTAGGGGTTCCATAGAAATTTCTATTTTAAAAAGTGGCATTACTTGAGAAATATTGGCATAGCTAAGTAATCTTCTTACCTTCACTCGAGAAGGCTGGTGAGGCCAGTGTTTAATGTCTGCAACGAAGTATGACATATGCAACAATGCAGCAGTCCCTCAATATTGTACTGAGCTGTCACCCTGGATTATGTGCTAAAACCTCAAGAGTGGGACTTCAACCTAAAACTTTCTGACTCCGAGGCAAAAGGTGTTCCCACACATCCACAGCTGACCTTTCAGATAAAAGTGAAGAACTCCAATTGCTAACATTTGCTGAAATGAGAAATAATTCATTAAAACAGATTCACATTACCTTCCCGATATTACTGCACCCACTGGTGGAAATTCTTCCAAGTTATTTATATTTAACTGAGCTGCAGGTGAAGTCGTATTAACAAACTCTATCCTCCTCTTATTGCCATTCCAAGTTCCAGCATCATCTTCAGCTGGGCTCTTTGCTGTGTCCTTGGCTACATGGCGGCCACTGACTAGCATATTTTTCTTCTTGGCACGGCGCTGAGATTGGCTTTCATGGCCTTGGACGATGAACTGCCCAAGGTTGGCCCTCTGAGCTGACCGTCGTTCACCATAGCGTGATGTAGCGCCACTGCTGAAGTCTGGGCTAACAGAGGAGTCTATACTGTTTAAGTCGCTGTTAGATTTTGAAAAGAAGGAAGTGCCATTGGATGAGGGAAATTCGAATGAACTGCCCAAATTCAAGGAATTGTTTGGCGTGTCGAGGAATAACTGCACTCTGGTCCCTTTTGGTGTTTCTGTGTTACTGCCTTTTGTCTCTGTCTGGTTACTTTCATTCCAATCCCGATGGCACCGGGCAGGTTTCAGTCCCTTGACGGAGGATGTTTTTGCAGGAGTTGATGGACCATTTGGAATTAGTTGGTTTGTCTGTTCTCTTAAAAAATTTAAAAGGAATGGTACAAAGTCTCTCCGCAAGGAATTGTACTCCAGAAGTTTGCCACCCAATTCACCATTCTGTAAACAAAAGTCAGGGAAAAAACCCTCTGATAATGTGGTTGCGAATACAAAAACATCATTAGCCTTTCACTAGACTCACTGAACAGAGGGGGGTGGGGAGAGGGGACGGAAAGAGCAGGGAGTGGGCAGAACTAGTGGTGGGACGAAAAAGAGTTGGGATGGCAAGGGGAGGGGGAGTGGTGATGAGGGGTAATGATTGGAGGGGGAGCGCGGTGGGGAGGTGATGAGAGTGGGAGGGGTG